CAGCATGAGCATGATCTGGACAAGTACTTCTCAAATTTCAGTGCATGTAGGAATCAACTGGGGATTCTGTGAAAATGCAGATTCAGGTTCAGTATGACTGGTGTGGGTCCTGAGGGTCAGTATTGCTAACAAGTTCCTAGGTGGTGCTGATTCCAAAACCACACTACGATATGTAAATGGAAGCACACAAAAATAATGGAATTGGGTAGGAGATAAGCTTTAGAATGTTAACTTAGTTTTCATAGTATGTTTATTATTTATAGTTAAAAGGATGAGAAATCCCTGATTTCCAAGTCTTTTTTAATTTTTTAATTATAAATAGCAATATATTTCATTGCAATAATTATTCAGTATGCTGTATAACAGAATTAGATTGGGACAACATAAAGATTGGCTTTACCCATTAGTGACACCTACCATTCCCTATAGGAATTTGACTTTTAAGTTAATTCTGGAAAAGACTGAAGAAAGTCAAATGAACAGCAAAAGGCAGAGCATGGTCTGGAGAGGAAAAGAGGAAAAGTTCTCTGAACCTGCCCAGTGAATTTCTGACCCTCCTCCCTGCAAACAATAAACAATCAACAAGAAGCCAGATGCAGGTGCGAAGGTCATTTAACCACTTCAAGCTATGGTGATCACTGTTTGGGAGATGAACAATCACAAAAAGCAGCAAGAACAGTGCTAAGAGAAGACAGCGAGGCTGGGTGGGAGGTCTCGTGACCCTGCTGTGACCCTGACGAAGTAATTGCCCTTAGATAGGTCATTTCATCTCTGGGTTTCTCCATCCATAAAATGAAGCCAATAGTCCCCTGCTTGCTTTTTCCTGTGGGTCTGCTTGAGGATCAAATGCAAGAGCATGTGTAAAAGCAATCGCATGCAGTGCTGCTTTAGAGATCAGTGTACTCCAAAGAGGCACCCAGTGTCTGGAAAATTGTTCCCAGTCACTTGTTCCTCAACATCCCTTTGTCTCCCAAGATGCCTTTCTTTTTATTTAAACGTCTATGCTAGAACATTCTTCCAGGGAATCTTCCTAAATTAGGAAGAGGTGCTCTGCATACTGCCAAATACCCCACCAAGCCGAAGAAACAGAATTCTCAGTTTATCCAACATGTTTCTGTCAGAGGAATATACACTACAATTTAATAAAAGGCACACGTGGAATCTTTGCAAAATAGCTAAAGGATTATTTTAACAAAAGTCAGGCCAGCATAAGGCATCAGAACCCTACCTCTACTACTTCAGAGCTGGTTACTCTTCTGGGCCTTGATTTCCTCACATGTAAATCATAGGTAACATGTCCCACCTCAGATGATCACTGTGAAGATTGACTTAAATGAAGAAAAGCACTTTTAAACTGTGAAGTCCTGTAAAAATATTATTATTTTATCTAAAATAAATGGGGAATGCCTTACATATTTTATCTCTCTTTCTAATAATGTAGTTTTAGTCTGCCCCACTTGTAAACATTTCTTACTTTGTGCTTCAATTTTAAAAGAATAATATAAACTCTTACATGCGTGTAGTCATTGACAACTGGGGAAGTAATTGCTCAATAATAGATGAATGATTATGTCGCTTTTACAAAAACTACATGATAACCAGGAATAATGCAAGGGAAAACCTGAGAGAAGTGCCATTTAGAGATTATCACATCTATATGTATTATACTGATATGATGGCAAATGCATGGAAAGCACTTACCACAATATTGTACTTGGTACAGTTTAAGTGTTCAATAAATGTTACCTATTATAACAATATTTGGCAAAAATGCATGGGGAAAAACTGCAATAATATATGCCAAAAATTAACAGTAGTAGTGCTTTTTTCAAGAACAGCGAATTTTAGTGACCTAAAGAACATATTTAAACAAATTCACTAATTAAAAAGAAAAAGACAAAATCTACTCAAATTCACCCAGGCTGCACTAATAGTTAAGTAGCAGAGCAAGGATTCAAATCCAAGTCTTCTGATTTCAAATTCAGGATTCTTTCTATGACACCAGGCTGCCTTGTTGACTTCACTTTTATTCTCTTGTCTGTATGTTTGATGTAGACAGTTAATTCAAGTTCATGTATTTATTATGCCAGAGTCCTGAGATAGAAACCCTACATGCATTTCAGGGAAGGTAGACAATGAAACATGTAAGTATTTTCTATAACAAAGAGCTAGAGTTACTTGATCCCAGTCACTAGAGGCTAATATTCTTGTTTATGGATAAGAGGAATAAGCACAACTCCCATCACCACTTCACACTAACATGCATGGAGGGAAGATCCCATCTCCTCCTGCCTCCTTAACCACCGCAGACAAAAGCATCTTGAGTACTAAGGAGCCACTTCATTGCCATCATACAATACTTTTTGAGACTCCAGAGATGTCAAGATGTTCTCTGTGGTTCTGATTTAATGGATCACTCCTAAAAGGGTACACACAATTTCTTTAAAAAGTCCTTTCCCAGAAGGGCCAGGAAAGACAGTGAGAAGAGGAGGCAAAATTGAAATAAACACAATCTTGTCTATATAGTTATTGAGACAAAGCTCCTGGATGAGCTAGGATGCAGCCTCAGAATTCTCAGTTTATCCAGTTCTCAGCTAGGTCCCAGGTAGCTGACACCAGTAAGCTTACTCTAAAGAGATTCCAGTTAAGAATTGTTCTGATTGTCTGGACTTATTTCCAGTTAGGAATCTGGAATCTCTTTCAGTAAGCTTACCTAGGACCTAACTGGAGTTGATGGTTGCATCTCTCTGTTTTCCCTTTTGGCCTCTCCGTGCATCCTCTCCAGGCCCTCTGCCCAATGTCTTCAAAGTCATTTTTCTAATTTTACTGAATAATACATTTGTATCAATTTACACTATCACAAAGTAGCTCAACTAAACTAATTCAGGTGACATTCCTTGCAAAAAAAAATGCCTTAGTGACTTAATGTTATTTAAGCTTCTAGAGGAGGCATGAGTATAAGAAACATGCATATAAGGATTCCTTTCCTTTTGGAAAAACTAGCTATAAAGATAGCATCTGGTCCCATATGTAAAACACTCTATCCCACATCTCTTTGTGGACACTCTAATGGACACCACAGACACATTTTTGCCAAAACTGTACTCAACAAGTTCTATAAAAAGTGAATGACAAGATTGTTGGGAGGAAAAAGTGAAATAGTGTGCATCGAGTTCCTTTTACAATGTTTGACATATGGTAGTTTCTCAATAAAGTAGAGTTACACCTGGAATGGTATCCCAGTCAACCCATTAGATCCCCAGGCCTAAGCCCAAGAGTTATCCTGGACTCCTTCCTCGTAGAGAATTAAACTCAAAAATCTGCCAAGCCCAGTTATGTCAGCTATCAATATATTACCTCTCAGTTCTAAATGCACCCTTTAGTTTGCCCTGGCCAGGTAGCTCAGCTGGTTAGACTGTGGTCTCAAAATGCCAAGGTTGTGGGGTTTGATCCCCAGTCTAGGCACATACAAGAATCAACCAATGGATGAATAAATAAGTGGAACAACAAATCAATGTTTCTCTCTCTTTTTCCCTCTCTCTCTATCATCAGTCAATAAATGAATGCACCTGTTAGTATGTGCACTATGATAAACAACAGAATTCTTTTAAGCATGTCTCTTTTAAAGTGTGCACTATATTATGATTTTTCAATACAGAATGCTACACAGATAGAGCAGAAAGAAGTCCAGACAATCAGAACAATAAAGCAAGGTCTGATCTCTGGTATTTGCTGATTTTCATAGTGTAATCACTGCCACCAAGGTTAATTCCAAACTGCCAACACGGCATCACTGAATTTGCAGTTGGGAAAGAGATGTGCAGTAGCACACTATCATATAGTATTTCCACCACACAAATGTTCTAGGCATAAATAACCCCAAGAATGTACAGAGCAGCAAAAATGAAGTAAAACAATCAGAAAGTGAGGCATTTTGTAGTGCATTACCTTTGTTTTAAACTTATTTATTTGTTTAGAAATTTTATATAATTTACTTTTAATAATGAACAACTGACTCTCCAAATCTTTGAAGGTGTACTGTTCACCTCTCATGAACCAGTGTGAACCAGTGCAGGCAGGCTGTGGGGTCAGACCCACTTCTCTCCATGAACAGGAATCAAACTGAGCTCTTCTGCTAGAGCCTTTGGTGACCATGTTTCCAAGACAGAGAACTCACTGAACCAATTAAGCATGTGGAATGAAGTTCTAATTTCATTTTCCACTTAATAGTATAGATTCTTTAGTAGAAAAGAGATGCTTCTTTTCCTTAGTATATGAGTCTTTTATTTATTGTAAAGATGGTGGTATTCCTAATATTTTTCTGGTAGGTAAAGAAAAGGTCATGCAGACACACATTTCAGGGAAGAACAAAGAGTTAACTGCCTTCACAGTTTCATTTGCAATGAAAGCCCTTGTAGATAATAAAAGATTTGGGGGTAAATGAAGCAATTATTAAAGTAATAGGGACTGAGTTTTAGCCTTGCTTTTTTTTAATCCTAAATGGATATGTGGCCTGTCTTCTCTATCCTACATGATTTTCCTGTTCATGTTATTGTACACAACAAAAAATTCAAACAGTGTATATTGACCTCATTCATTCTGTTTCCTAGTCTTTCTTTCCATTTTACCCAGAATGGGATGGGCAGAAATCTTATGTGGTTGAACAGAAAGTGTTTATAAGAGACAGAGATTGGAACCAGAGAGTTCAGTTAGGAGGCTAATGCAGTAGTCCTTGAGATCAATGATGAGGGCCTGCCCTAAGGTGGTCAGAGTGATGGCTGAGTGAAGTAACTAGCCTGGGAAACAGTTGTGGGCATCAAACCTGGTCATACATCACCCATGGGGCACTGTGAAACCTTACTTTCTAACTGGATATGTCAATCATCTTACATAACAACCAGAAGAAATTCTCCCAAAGGTCCATCTCCTCCTATTCTGTTGTAGTTGTGTCAAGGAAAATGCTAGATTTCACTTTCCTTCACTGAGTCATAACTACTCACACTGTCAAGAGCCAGTAGCCTTGAATTTTCTCTCCAGAAGTCTTGGCTATGTGATCTTTCAAGTCTTCCATGGCAGTCTCAATGGCTCCCGGCTGAATGGGAAAAAGAAAATACCTGGTTTAGAGAGAACTGAGTCTTCCTGGTACTTGTGATTAGTTATTATATTTCTATGGTTTCTCCAACAGCTGAACAGAAAAGGTAGTTCTTACATTTGCCTATTTGTTCTAGACATTACCTGCTGGAGAGCTTAGCCTTGAACTCTGGTATTTACTAAACTGTTCTCCTTGGGTGAGACAAAAGCAATCTAAGTCCTATCTTCCATAATCTTACTCACACTTTCTCAGAGAAAGGAAGACAGCCATTTTCAGAAGACAAGTTTTTCTGAACAAACATGTTTATCAGACAGTTCAAAGCATTTAGTAATCTGTACATTTTTTATTGTTTTTCAATTATAGTTGTCCCAGTTTTCCCACCGTTGTTCTCCCCTGCACCACCCACCCCCAACTCCCCTGTCAGTCAATCCCCACTATTGTCCATGACCATGGGTCCTATATACATGTTTCTTGATTAGACCCTTCCTCTTCCTTCCTCCATTTCCCCCTCCTCCATCCCCTTTGGTAATTGCCAATTTGTTTCTTATTTCCATTTCTCTACTTGTATTTCTTCATTTGTTTGTTTTGTTCATTAGGTTCCACTTATAGGTGAGATCATATGGTATTTGTCTTTCACTGCTTGGCTTATTTCACTTAGCATAATGCTTTGCAGTTCCAACCATGCTATCTTGAAGGGTGGGAGTTCCTTCTTTCTTTCTGCTGTGTAGTATTCCATTGTGTAAATATACCATAGTTTTTTTGATCCATTCATTTATTGATTGGGCACTTAGGCTGTTTCCAGCACTTGGCTATTGTAAATAATGATGATTTGAACATTGAGGAACAATCTACACATTTTTAAAATCAAGCCTTTCTCTCTTCCAAAAGCACACAGCAATAAAGCACAAAAAAAGAAAACTTCTTCCAATATTCTGACCATAATTTTAGCTGTCTCTGTGAATAAACCTTTTTGTCTCCTTACCTCACTTTCTTCACCTTTCTCAAAGTAAGTTTTCCTACTTATGGGCCTAGCTCTAGCTTAAAATTTGATTAATCCTTGTCCTAATAAGAAATTTGTAGATCCTCCAGCTCAGTGGTTTTTTTAAACATCAGTGTACATCAGAATTACCCGAAGTGGGTTTTAAAACACAGATGTCTGAGCCCTGTCCCAGGGTCTGGTTCAGTGGGTTGGAAGTGTGCTTGAGAATTGGCATTTCTTTCAGATTCCCAGGTGATACTGTTGGTGTGGGATCCTACTGTGAGAACCACTGATCTCTAGACAGTTATTCTCAACCTTGATTGCACATCAGAATCACCAGGGAAGTTTTTTAAAAATCCTAATGCCCAGACTATGCACCAGGCCAATTATATCAGATACTCAGTGTATGGGACTCACACATCAGCACATCAGTATTTTTAAAGCATCCCAGATGACTCTAATATGTGGCCAAGGTTGAGAACAATTTGGGCTTATTTAGTCTAAGCCATTTTTTTATAGTTGTAGAAACAGGGACCATTGTGGAGAAGTTGCTTGTCAAGTTAACTCAGCTAGGAAGTAAAAGAAACAAGAAACTCAGACCTTCAATTTCCAGGCCTACAATGCACTGCTAGTCTCGTTCCCAAATCTGGGATAGTAACAAGTGACTTACAAATTTTCATATATTTTCCATATGATAAAGTTTTAATACCAAACTCCTTATTTTCTCTATATATTAATATTCCTAATACTCCCAGCCTGAGTCCCTCCCTCACAAAAGAAAACAGGAACACTAGCCTGTCTAAGACCCATCCAAATACCTTTTCTTCACAGTGGTGGGATGGTGGCAGGATTTGGGTTTGCTTATCTTTTTGGTCTATAATAAAAGGCTTTGAAGAATTTTGGCCACAGAATCCACTGGTTAAGAAAAAAATTATATAAGAATCTATATAATAAAAATAGAAACAGAATGGAGTGCCTCAAATAAGCAGAGGTAAAGGTATACAGCTTAACTCACTTGGCTCCCCCAGGCCTCCAGTTCACTGCACACAGCCCAAGTTAGCCAGGAAAGAGACAGATCAACTTCTAAACAGAGCTGAGGGACCTGGGTTCTTTATCCAGATCTACTGTGAATGAATTCTGTGACTCAAACATTTCATTGGCCTCTGTTTCCTCATCTAAGTGGTAGAACAAATCAAAGCTTTCTGAGCCAACCTGATGACCAAAACCTCCTTAACATCTTTAAGAATATATGATCATAGCCCTTATACTGAGAGGTTCTATCATTTTAATAAGTTTCCTGTTGAATTGGATGGTCAAACAGTGGACTAAATGATTTCTGACTCTCTTGCCATCCCCTGCTGCTAAAGGGTCAACAGAAAGATAACATGGAACCCCATGCCTACCAAAACCTGTATGTCATGAAATCAGTAAATTATGGGACATTAACCACATATTCCTTGAGCTCATACTTACAGAAGAGGTTGAGCATCCCTGGATTCCAGTGACCCTACTAGAAGGACTGGACTACCATGGAGGGAAATATACTATAATCCCATGATAATTCTGTCACACAACTTCAGCTTCCCATCATGCAGCCTGACTCTACCAGGCTAAGTTGTCAAATTCTCTAAAAAACAATACTTTCTGTGACGACTCATCATGTGGATGCTTCCTAGCTCTCTCTCTCTCTTCATATAATTTATGCTGCAGCTAATATAATTTAATGAAAAAAATACAAATGGAGTGGAAGAATAATGAAATAATCCTAAAACAATAAGTATTTTGTTGATCACTTTTATGCTAAGCACTTTGCCAAAAATATCTGAAAATGAATATAATAATGTAAAACTTTTCAAAACCTTACTTGTCTTTATGGAAAGCAATTGGTAAAATCTATCAAAATAATCTTGCTTTTGATTTACACATTTCACCTCTGTGAAGCTATACTATAGATATTCTTGCATACATGCACAATGACCTGTATAAACTATTCTTTGCAGTCTTGTTTGTAGATAGCAAAAATCTGGAAACAACCCAAGCATCTATCAATAGGGCACTAGTTACATGTATCATAGGGTATATCTATACAATTAAAAGGGTAGAATATATTTATTTATTTTTTTAAAGATTTTATTTATTTATTTTTAGAGAGGGAAGGGAGGGAGAAAGAAAAAGAGAGAGAAACATCAATCCGTGGCCTGCAACCCAGGCATGTGCCCTGACTGGGAATTGAATCTGCGATGCTTTGGTTCGCAGCCCACGCTCAATCCACTGAGCTACGCCAGCCAGGAAAAAAGGCAGAATATATTTAAACATGAGGAAACTTGCATTAACATGTAAAGATTTCAAAATATTAAGTAAAAAAAAATGTTCAGAAGAGACAGTAAATATGCCAACTTTCATGTAAAAAGGAAAAGAATAGATAAAAATACATATCTGTGTTTTCTTGTATATGCCTAACGTAACTTTAAAAGGATATATAGAAATGTTAGCAATGGTTCCCTAAGCAGGGGAAGGAATTTGATGGGTAAAAATAAAGTATGCCTTTACCAAATGGTTTGGAAGTCCCTGGAGTTCTGTAAAAGTCCTCACTATCTATGATGTTATTGGTGCTATAATAAATTAACATCATACACTTAGTATTGGAAATGAAATAAAAATGTGTGAACAAGTTGACTTGTGTTGAGGATAAGATATCAATCTCAGCCTTTCTGCGTGCTGTGAGACCCATGTTGAATCATTTTTTCATTCTAGATATCCATTTAATCATTTGTTAGGTGGATAAGGTAATATTAGTTGTAACAGGACTGTTGGGAGATATCAAAAACATTTAGTAACACTGAATAATAAAAGACTTTATTATCACTCTTACTGATAATATAAATAGAAGATAAATAGTCGTACCAGGATTTGGGGATCAAATGGTTACTGCAATGGAACAATTAGCTCTGAGACTCCTTATAACCTAATAGAAAACAATGACAAAATAATATGTACTCATCATGTGATAAAAGAAAGCTTATCAAGGTAATACACATATAACATATAGTTCTAGTTCTAAATTTTAACAAAAAAAACATTGGGGGAATCCTTATTTTTAAGTCACTATATAGCAAAATGGGCCACATTTTCTCTAATAATCTAGCACTGAATATCTTCAGTGAAAACAAATCTACTGAGAGAATTTCAAAGACATATATCTTTGTTTCCTTGCTTTTCCTTGAACTAGACTAGCCCCGGGGCCAGTTGTCACGCAAACAATATTCATGTCTGCTGCTGATTTTTCCCCATGTACTGGATGCCTTAACTAAATAGAAAGAGGAGAGTAGAGGAAGAAATGTTCCTAAGGACTCGGATACAAGAAGATCTGTCCTGTGGTTGTCATCATGTCACCATGCCCAGATAAGATTGCTTTGCAGTAAATACATAAGGTAAGAAAACCAGCTCTACAATGTATGTGATTTGTAAAGTACAATCAAATGTGTCTTTCCCTGAAAATGAAGGAAATGCATCTTATCTTATTATTGTTCATTGTCTTCCCTTAGGAAGAAACAGCATCTTTATTATAATTTTCAAGGGATTTTAGTGAAAGGAGGAAAGTTGAGAAACCTTTTGCCCAGTGAGACATATAATTTCTAGACCAGAAAGAAGCTCACACAGACAATAACAATACAATTAATATATTTAGTTGTTCGCAATGCAAGAGCAAGGCATAGGGAACCCTATAGTAAGAGAAGAGGGAAAGGGAGGGAGTATGAAAGCCAAATTAGAGTCATGAAAGCAACGACATCTTGCTGCACAATGGGAAGACTCCAACCTGCTTATTAAAGTCTCCTTGCTCACAATAGAACACAGGCTATAAAAAGGCCATGGGGAACCATTAATCAAATATTAAAAGATCAAATAGTTTTAGTCCCAGTAGTTTATATGTAATTTACATTCTCAAGTATAAATTTAGAGATAATTCCCCATCCCTAATCTCTTTCAACTTTCTGATAAGGTTCTGACAAATATAGAGTCCTTCAGGGAGTTTAAAAATATCTTTCACCATGCAGATCATGTATTGTTTCTCTCATAAGAAGTTGCCTTTGAATGTGTCTCCAAAATAAAGTGATTATCGTAATATACCTTGAGTTATTAGCCTTAAGGGGTACTTTTGTTCAGAGAAGGCACTATGCCTTTTTTAGATAGAGCTAAGCAATTAATAGCAGATGAACTACAACAGAAGGAAAAGGTTACCCAAGCAGACAGAGAGCAGGTGATTCAGACCTTCATTATGGTGACCTCCCATTCATTGTCCAAGGTGAGAGGTAGTGGAGGGGTGGTGGAAAGTGTCAAGAGTCCAGTCTCAGCATAGCCCCTAAGTTTTTGGTTGACAGTAGGCAAGTCACATCTCATTCATGTGTTTCAGGAGTTGGATTAGATATCTCCGAGGTCTTTTCGACATAGCAAAAATGTTGTTAAATTATATCAAGAAGGCAGGGTTTCAGTAAATAAGTTGTAGGTGGAAGCCTGAGGGAAGGAAGCAACATCTTGGAGTGATGCAGAAAAGGACGCATAAGGTTTAAGAGACCACATTGACTCCTTTTAGAATCTAGTATTCAGAAGTGTGATCTAATGCATGAGGTTATGATGCTAAAAACATCTTTTGTCTGTCCAGAATTAATTTATACCTCCATATTAGTCACATCACACATATCCAGCTTGTAACTCACATAATTGATTCCCCTTCTTGTTATAACATTGGGTATCTACCTCTGGCATCAGAGACACTGAGGACCCTTCTGCCACAGCCAAAACATAACTTCCCCTTTCAGGTTAAAAGATATAAACAAGAAACAATCTAAATACCCAGTAAATGTTAAATTAATAGTAGTATATCTCCATGGTAGTGGTATATTATGGATTTGTTAAATATGATGTTATGGACGTACTACAGTAATTGACATAGGAAGTAATATTTGGCATGTGATCCTATTTTTACACACATTAAACAGGTAAGAAAAAAATAATAAGGATATATACCAAAATGTATAACTACACATTAACATATTTAATTTACTGTGAGCAGGGGGATTATGGTGACTTTTATTTTGCTAATCCACTTTTTCCAATTTTTTCAATAAACCACCTATTGTGGAATGATTTTAAACATTTTAATAAAATAAAATGCTTGACCAGGAATTCCTCTACTAAATTAATGACTGTTCTTCTGAATTTACAACACATATGTTTTAAATTCTTATACTGTAATAAATTGATTTCTTTTTAATTGCTGCATGGGATCATAGAGCTATAAATTGGCTCTAAACCTAGCTTTGCCATTTACTAGCATCTTGGGCAATTCTGTGCTCCTTAACTGTTAAGACACTGGGTAAGTACAACCCCTCTCTGGGCTTTAGCTGCCTCTGAAGCTAAGAGTATTGGCTAGCTCCTTGATGCTCAAAGTGTAGTCCTTGGACAGAGAGCAACAGTACTGCCAGATGGTTTATATAAATGGAGAATCTAAGACCTCACTCAAAGCCTACTGAATCAGAACCAGCATTTTAAAAAGATCTTCAGGTGATTGATTTGTTTGCACAGTAAAGATTAAGCAGCACTGAGCTAAATCATCTGTAGATCTTATTTCACCTCTAAGAATGATAATTAATGATGAATCTATCATAGATCTGAATCATTTAGAACCTTGGTCTTATTTACTTATCCTTTGAGAAAATGAATTAGTTTTCTTTACTCAAACTTTTTTACTGCCACAGATGCTATACATCTACATTCATATCTTACTCTGGAGGCCATGGTAAGGTCATGGTCAAGTTAATATCAGTCATTGTGTATGTCCAATTATAGAAGTGTAAATGTCAAATCAACAAAAGGAGAGAGAAGGCATTTATAATAGCAATGAGATGCCACTTATGAAATGTTAATAGATGTGGCATGCTTTGTACTAAGAACTCTTACAAAGTTAGCTTATTAAAAACTTCATACAAAACTGGTATTTTATCTACACTTTGAGGATGGGAAGATTTATATATGCACACACATAGGTTCTCCCCATTTTCTCAACTCCCACCACATCAGCAGATTGGTCATGTACAAGGTAGTAAAATTAGGTCATTCCTTTATTTATTAAAACATATATTTCTCACTATAAGTTTCAGTTGAGCCAATAGTTGTATTTTCATTATCTGCACATGCTAAAAGAGCCCTTCATATTCTGTCCCTAGGTCTGAAAAGAGAATAAATGCTCAGTACCTTTGAAACATAGTCCTCAGCACACCTAAAAAGTCCTCACATCTACTTTAGATTCATTAATAAGATTAGAAGGTTTTTCTTCTCAGGCTCTTGAGAACTCAGGGTTATCTTCTGTACACCTGATGGAGATGTTCGTAGCATGGATCAGAATCAGTCATTGAAAACCCTTATAAAGGGGTCATAAACTCAACTATACATTATGGCAGGGAGAACACTGGACTGATAGACGGGAGATACTGAGCCTAGCTAGCTCTTTGAAAGGTGGAAGTGAAACATCAGTCATTTCCCTTACTGAAGACTGGTACAGGCCACCAGGCACTGGGGCAGCTCATATTCACAGCTGCTGATCTCCTGGTTCCTTTGACAACATGAGGCAGCTCCTGGACCTATAGCTTCTTTTTGTTAGTCAGATCTCCTCCCTCAGATTCTCCTTCCCCTGGGCTGGGGCAGTGGAAAAAGGCACCAGCTTCTCTTGAAAGTAATTCACATCTTCAAGTTTAGACTTGGGAGATAGATAGGTTCCAATCTGTCTCTATTCTGTATTACCTATTCCCACTTCACAACTGACAGTTGGTTGACCTATAGCAACTTTAGGCCATCACAAGATGCAGACACAGCATTTTTATGTAGATTTCTCAGACAGTTCTTGTAAATGCACTGGTTTCTTCTATAACACTCATGGTTCTTGCCCTCATCAAACCCAGGCTGTCACATCATCAATATCAAAGATAAATGAAATATAAGGGATGCTTTGATTTTCTTCACAGCTATACTTAACCTGCCATATTTAATCAAGTCCACACACTTTAGAAAATAAACCTTATGCTCTACATACACAAAAACACTCACACAAATACATAGTATAGCACCTACCACAGAACCTTGCAAGTAAGAGTCATTGAATACAGGTGATACAAGTATATGTAATCTTCAACACACCTACATGCACACCATACACACTCAGTTGCTTCAGTTAAAACTTTATCTTAACTGAAGATATATTTTAAAAGCTACCAAATCAGGATGCATTAGAGATTTGTAAATAATCCCAGAATCTTGGCCAAAATTTATTTATGAAATTGAGTTAAATTTTTTTTCAACTATGAGAGGCCTCATGTACACTTGAAAAAAAGATGATCTCTTTTTCCACAATACAAAATCCCTGATTTTGACCTCAGTTGTTGTAGCCAATAAACTAACCATTACTGTGCTGACAAAAATAATGAAGTACTGGAAAAGAAGTATGAAGGAGAGTCCAAGACAGAGGCAGGTACTAGAAACCAGTGAAGTACTCTCTACTGATTCAAATGCTAGAAGTTTAAATATCATTTCCTTCATCTAGATATACAACCCCATCCTCATTACCTACCCATCCATTTACTTTCCCAGTTCCAATGCGTAGGAAAGACAGCCCAGTTCCACACTGAGGCTACAGATTTGAGACATAAAATTCCTGCTCCCACACAGTAATACCAGCACCCCAATGTAGACCCTTGAGGTTCATTCAGCACATTCTCAACAAGCCTTTCCACTCCACCACCCCTGTTTACAAAATATAACAAATACCCACTCTGGGCTCACAGCTTTCTACTCCAGCTGCTCTGTTTCTCTCTCCATAGAACATTAATTCACTGAAGTCAGGTTTAGCATAAACACAGGACTAAGGAGGGAAAGACCCATGGAGAATAGAGGACCTGCTTCTCCTTGGTTCTGTCTGGTGATCAAAAACACACTCTCTTAACTTCTCTGAAATTCAGATCGTTCACTTGTAAAAGATACCTACTTCAGTGACTGTCACTATTACATGAGATAAGAAATGTGAAAACACTTGGTAAAACATATACTATATAGAAAGATATTAGGATAAAGTCTTATGTAGCATATAAGAGCACTAATGATTTTACCCGTGTAACGAAGTACTTTCGTGAGATATAAGGCCGATGATAAGGATTAGGGTAGAGTGTTGATTTGGTCACACTTGGCTGCCTTGACATCTGCTTTGGCACTGGGTCCTTGCCTGGGTCTCCCTCCTCCATGGAGAGTCGCTCAGTCTCTAAGGGTTGGTCATCTCCCTCTTGCTTCAGAGACACAGGCTGGAATCCTTCATAACTCCCAATCGTTGACATTTCTTTAGCTTAAACAAGGGGAAAAAAAATCTTGTCAATTAAAAAAAAAGTCACCTGGCTCTTGCAAAATAGGTACATGAGCAAATGATGTTTCTGAAACTGACACCCACCCCACACACATTAAGTAAACACAGGCATCGATGGATACAGTTCCATAACTCAGACTCCACAGTCCTGGAGGGCTATTCACTGGACAGAGAAAAGGAGGCTGTAAGACTTCCATTTTTCATCTTTAATTCCCCAGGACAGGAAGGTGAACAAGGGAAGAGCTGAGTGAAATAATTGTCAGACAACTTTGTTCAAGATTTCATTGCATTTTTTGCCTGAAAACCCACCAGCCTGAAAGCTTATTTGTGTTAAAAGCAATGATAATGCACCTTCTTGTGTGCTTCTTGGGGAGTAGTAAGGCACAAGGGCACTTAAAACTAAGCACTTTTTTTCAGCTGAAACATCACAATTCTAAAAATGTATCCTAAGGAAATAATTTAGACAAATGCTCAAAGACATAAATATAGAAGGTTGTTCATCACAATATCTATCATCTAATAGCAGAAAAATATACAACTTTAGGTCTAATAGCAAAATATTGTTTACAATAGCAACATTATGTGCACACACAACACTGTATCTAATACCGAAAAAAAAATATAGTGAAACTAAGTACTATTGGTAGGGAATAAGATACATTATACCATGCAGTAAAATACAATGTAGTCATTGAAAATGTAAGCGTATACTTTTATGATGGAAAGATGCCCAAAATATATTGTTAATGAAAAAAGTAAGACATAAAATATTATGAATGATGTTATTCAAATTGGTAAAATAATTCAGAGAGCGAGAAAGAGAGAGAGAACTAAAAAAAGAAAGAAACTAAGAAAGAGAGAATACTTGGGCACACACACATGTATGATATAAGGGAGGTTAGAAAGTCTAAAAAACATAAAATGAAATATTAACAATGATTATCTCTCGATGATAGGGTCATGAATAATTTTTATTTTCTGTTTTGATAAGTCTTTAGTGTTCAAAATGATAATACAGGAATGGGCAAAACTAGGTTTACAATTGTTTGTATGGGAAAAGACAAATAAATAATACAGTAATTAAAAATAATACAAGAACTAACTAGAAAACTACTTTTGCCCATCCCTGTACAGGACCTAAAGTAAATAAAAACACAATAAATTTATCTTTGTTTTATAAATACAAAGCAACACAAAACAAAACAAAAGGCACCTGCTAACCTAGTAAAAGTGTGCCCAAATCAGGTCTCCATTTTCCCCTTGAGGCCACATAGTCATCCCTATAGTAAGCACACCACTACCAATGCCACGTGGAAGGAGAGTCTCACACCAGCTTCACCATACCACTGGGAGTGTCATCCTGTTCTCAGGGATGCCTCGGTATTCTTAATCAGATAAATGTGATTTCCTTGGTTCTTGTGAAATACCAGAAAAATGAGAAACAGCCCTTATTCCCAACAAGTTTACATTCTTGAAATTGGAATTAATTAGAGTATTCCAGAAAGATGAAAATAGTATGACCATATAATTTGTTGCCTAAACCCAGACACTTTTGAGGATAAAAAGAATGCTATTAATAATTATGCCAGTATGGCCCTGGCTGGTGTGGCTCAGTGGATTAAATGCTGCCCTGCAGACCAAAGGGTTACTGGTTTGATTCCCAGCTGGGGCACATACCTGGGTTCTGCGCCATGTCCCCAGTAGGGGGTGTGCAAAAGGCAACCATATATTGATATTTCTCTCGCTCTCTCCCTCCCTTTCCATCTCTCTAAAAATTAATAAATATTTTTAAAAGAATATTTACAACATCTAAAAAAATTATGCCATTATTATGGGAGAACACTGAGATTATCTCAGACAACTGTGGATATAGTCATCCTGAGGGGTTTGGAGGTAGGAGAAAACACAGTTAGCTAAAACTCATGAGTGAAAAACTCTCTGCAGATAACATCAGAGGTTATCTCCTCTGATACACCCAGCCAGCACTGGAGGATAATTTCATCTCCATGTCTCTGGGGAGCACAGGGTTGGATAATTTCAGAAACACTTGGATAATTATGGCAGCACCTAGACTACCACCCAGGGCTCCCAAACGTTTTAAGCCTAGCTTGCCCACCATGATGTATGCTATTTTACAACAGGAGGATATTTGCTGGATTTGGGGGTAATTTTATTTATGTTAGTTGTACAAAAGACAGACATTAGGTAGAACAGGCTTTTGAGATATACAAAGCACACACAAAGTAGAAAAAAAATTGTATTCATGTGTATGTGTGTGGGTATGTGAGAGAGAGAATGAGAGAGAAGAGGAAGAAGGGGAAGAAAAGGAGGTGGGGAGGAAGAGATGGAGAGGAAGAGGAATAAGGAAAAGGAGAAGGAAAATAAACTGAGAGAGAAATTAGTGAGACATGGCCTCCCTGGCAGCTACTCGATGTATTTGTGCAGGTCTGCCACCTCTGCACGAATGCGTGTTGGAAGGAAGTGCATTTCTAGAGTTCCCTATAACCTGTGAAGGAAGGTTTGTGCCTTTGGGGAAGGAAAGCCTGCTTCTGTATTTGCTGCATTCTGTGAACACAGGCCTAACAACAGACATCTGCGAAAGACTCCTGTGCCTGGAAAACAGAAGGAGGATTTAATTAGCACCACTTCCTTTCCCTCAGGCTGTCTTCGCTGGAAACAGTTGAAGGGGAGCAGAGCACTTTGAGACTGAGCTGTCTGAGATCCAGGAAAGGAGGAAATTCAGCTCCAGTTAAATTCTTACAGTCATGACTAGTGGGAAAGTTGAACCTGGTCCCTTCAATCCAAAATGATTCCAGCTCTATTCCAGTCATGGGGACATCTTTTCAAGGCCATGTAACTGCGTCCACAACCTCCCCCATAGCAGGGGAGCAACATGCGCCTGAGCAGCCCACTCCATTCCTCATCACTACCCACCCAGACAATGTTTATTCCCAATTCCATAAAACGTGCCCTTCTATTGCTGTGCAAATAGACTATATACATTCAAATACTAAAAACATATCAATGGCAAAAACACACTTTTTCACTGAATTTTCTCATTCCAGGGAATTCGTGTAATGAAAATTTTCCTAAAAAAAGAAAAGACTGTAATATTGTGGGTGGTAATGAAAAATTGGAAACCAACTAAACTCCTAACAGCCGAGAAATTACTAAATCTATCCAACTGATATTGTGCAGATGCTTAAAATAATGTGGGCAGGTGCTGCACCATGGGGGTAAAGATGTGTCTTCTTGGATGAAAAAAAAAGGCTCCTCTGGTAATGATGATTTGAATAACTTTTATAGTGGTAAACACTAGAAGGGAAATGTTGAGATTTATAGAGGTAGTTGGACTGTAAGTGAATGTTTGCTTTTAAAAAATTAAAATATATTTGTGCTGCTTTTGTAATAAAAAATAAAATGTATGAATAAATGTGTTAGGTCACAAACTCAGGAGCTTCCTGGGTGAAATCTGAAAATGGCCCTACATGGAGGTCAAAGAGAGATCGAAAAACGGGCAGACCACTCCAGATTGGTCGGTGATGGGGTTTACCAACAAGGGAACTTATACAGGAGGCTTGTCTTGTGAGGCTACAAAATGAGTAGCTTTCTCTCCCCACCTGCTGGAATCTTAACAGTTCGTATAAACTGTTAAGCGGCCTGGACTGGGTTCAGGCACATCCACCACCCAGATGTCCTCAATAACACATTGCTCTCTCAAAGTCTCGTCCTTGAAAACAGCTCCCACTGTGGGAACAGTGGGCAGAATGTCATTCCAAAGACTGAGAAGGGAGTGAGGGGCCTCTAATTGCCCAGGTCACATCTTCTCAATGACCTTCTTCAAAAAAGTCCCAAATAAATACCTAAGGAAGTGCTACACTTCCTTTGATCAGACAAGAATTCTATATTCCTCAGCTGCCAACAAATTCAGAGCTAAATTTAATATCATATTGCAGTAAATAATTTACTTCTGGACCCTGACCTAATTATACCTCCTCCCTTTATGCATGCTTTCATCTTTCTCTCTGTGACTTTTTTCCAGCAATACTTAAGAAGCATATAGGGCATAAACTATAGCTAGACAATTAATGTCTAGTTCAACTTGGTTCATTTTTCACATTTTATAACACCGAGGTGAAGGACTTGCCCAAGTTCACACAACTAAATAGAATTGAAAATGAAACCAGACTCAAACTCTAGTTCGCTATTTCTTATTGTAAAATTTAGAAGAAAAGCAGATATGTAGTCATCAAGCTCATGCATTGGTAAGCTGAAGACACCTTTGCCAAATGTCGGCTCCACTCAGGTGTTTGCTTAGCTCTGGGATTGAGGCTCATCCCTGCCTCAACAGCCCTTTGCTCTGTGCCACAAGCTGAAGCTTTTTCCTTCACCTGGGACCAGAACACTTACCAATACGGCACAGTGGAGGGCAAAGCCTGAGGTCCAAAAGCATTTAGGAGCTTGGAAAATGTTTTAATTTATTTTAAAATCAGAAGAGAAAAATTTAAATCTTAGGGTTGAAAAAATGTTTTAATTTTTCTCATATCAGAAAAAAAGGGAAACTTCTGGGGCACCCAATATCTACTAAATCTTTCCTGAAAACAAATAAAATAAAATATTGAGCCATTTAAAGTTCTAGAAATGTGCCCTGGTTGGTGTGGTTCAGAGGATTGAGCACTGACCTGTGAACCACAGGGTCACTGGTTTGATTCCCAGCCAGGGTATATGCCTGGGTCTCGGGGCAGGTCCCCAGTAAGGAGTGCACGAGAAGCAACCACACAATGATGTTTCTCTCTCTCTCTCCTTATCTTCTCCTCTGCCTAAAAATAAAATAAAATCTTAAAAAAGTGAAGTCATATAAATAGACATTTTGGTATTGATATTATTATGGTGAAGAGGTGGACAAAGGCGAAAGAGTCTGGGTACAAGGGAGTCATAAAGTAGCCCTGACTTGAATCCAGAGTATGATTCACATCCCCTGC